CAAGGCCAGCTGTCACTAGTGCTGGGTCTAGGGCCACTTAGTAAGAGGTATGGAGTATGCATGCCAAGGCCAGATGCCGCTTGTTTTAGAGATTTTTAGGAAAGTCTGAAGTGTGAGCCAAGACATGCCGTTCATATGGAAAAGCCACTGGAAACAGCTTGGGTGGGTCCCACAAGTTGTTGGAGCGTGATCAGGGAATGATCACGATGGGGCAAACAATGTGAGCCAGGTTGATGGAGAATGAGATAGGGGGCCTGCCTGCTGGCTCTGTGAGGGAAGGGCTAAGAAAAGGAACAATGGCCTCTGCCAACACTTCTGTCTGGGAGAAAGCTGCCCCTCCAGTTCTTGCCTTGATGCCAGACACTTTAGTACTTCCCCTTGTGTTCCTGGTGCCTTTCAAGCGGCTGTGCCCCAGCACTGGAGCTCAGAGTGTGTGAGTCGAAGTGAGTCTGTGCATGGGCCCTTTAAGAGGAACTGCCTTAGAGTCTGCAGCTCTCTGTCTCACTCAGTCACAATCCCCACGGGGTTTCACATCCAGAAGTTATGGGGACTTCTCTCCCCAGCACTGAGATCCTACGCTGGGAGGCCTGGTGTAGTGTGGGGCTGGGACCCCTTGCTCCTCAGGTTGTACCTTCACAGCTGAGATTACCCTCCTGATTGATTTTGATCTGCCACACATGGGTGTGGGACCAATCTGTGGCGTCTCCGTCCCTCCTACCAGTCTGGACGTGTCTTATTCTTAGTTGTAGGACTTCTGTTCAGCTAGATTTCAGGAGGTTCTGAATGATGTTTGTTCTGTAGTTTAGTTGTATTTTTGATGTGGTTGTGGGAGGATATGAGTACTGTTTTTACCTACTCCACCATCTTGATTGGAAGCAAGAAATTACAATCATACAAAAAAGTAGAATAGTACAATGACTTCATCCATTGCCAAGCTACAACCAATATAAACTCATAATTAATCACTTCATCTATACCCGGCACTCTTTTTTTTTTTTATCCTTAGCCATAGACATGCTTAGAGAGAGGGCAAGGGAGGGAGAGAGAGTGGAAGAGAAACATCAATGTGAGAGAGAGACACCAATCAGTTGCCTCTTGTATGTCAGGCACCAAACGTACAAGCCCAGCATGTGCCCTGACTGGGAATCGAACACATAACCTTTTGGTTTATGTGTTCGATTACAGGGCAATGCTCCAGTCAACTAAGCCAGACTCACCACAACTTTACCCTCCACTCTTTGCAGCTACCCAGCTGCATTATTTTGAAACAAATCTCAGCATTAATGCATCTATAAGTTTTTCAGTATGCGTCTCTAAAAGATAATTTTTATTTTATTATTTTTTTAACTCCTCACCCAAGGACATTTTTTCATTGCTTTCAGAAAGAGCGCAAGGGGAAGTGGGGGAGAGAAAATATTGATGTGAGAGAGAAACATGGATCAGCTGTCTTCTCGTATGCACCACAACTGGAGATCAAACCCACAAACCAGATATGGGCCCTGACCAGGAATCGAACCAGAGACCCTTTAGTCTATGGGGTCCTGACATTCCAACCAACTGAGCCACACCAGCCAGGGCTCTAAAACATAATTTCTAAAGGACATAACCATAATAACATTATTAGCTATATTTCTTTAAATCAACTGTCTAGTCAGTGTTTGCACTAGGTACCAACTGTTGAGTAACTTAGTGGTTTAACAAAACAACAAACGCGAACTTGGGAGCATTTTAGCTAGGCTGTTCTGGCTCAGTGTCTCATGAGACTGCAGTCACCTGAAAGGTTGATCCACTTTCCAGGTGGCTCATTTTACACTGGCTGGCAAGTCAGTGCTGACTTTTGGGGAGTGGGGAACTCAGGTCCCCTCTGCAAGCACTATCCACAGGGCAGCTGAAGGGCTTCAGAACCTGTCCCTGGTTTCCCCCAGAGCAAGTGAACCAAGGAGTCAAGGAGGAAGCTGCAATGCCCTTTTTATAACTGACCTAGCTTCATAAGTCACGCACAGTTTTCCTTCAGACCTACATGCCAGCCTGCTTCACTGTGAGAGGTGAGGGTGTGAATACCAGGAGGCCTGATCCTTAGGGGCCTATCCTGAAGGATGGTTACCACAGATTCGAATAGCTCCAGATCTCTCTTTCTCTTTCTCTCTCCAGTTTGTTTATTAGAATCAGGATCCAAACAAGGTCTACATCGTTGCATTTTGTTGGTATGACTCACTCCTAAGTCTGAAACTCTGGGTTCCCTTCCCACTTTCTTTCAGTTTCATTCTTATTTCTTTGCCCCTCCACCACTTTTTTTTTTTTTTTTTTTTTAAGAAATCAAGTTGTTTGTCCCTATAGACTTTTACTGGATTTTGCTGTTTGCATCCCTGTGATGTGATTTAACATTGTCCTTCAATCCCTGTCTTTCCCATAAACTGGTACTTAGATCTACAACCTAAAATGTCATTGGTAGTGGTGTTTACTTCCATCAGGAGGCACAGGTCAGGTTGTCTCAATATGATGTTGGTGGCTATTGATTATCATTGCCTACCTTCATTTTCATCAGAGGTTTACAAAACAGTGATAAATCCTGTACTACCTCCATCAGCTGGACTATTTCTACAGAAAGGAACTTTCACTTACTTTTTGATTACCCTGAAGTACAGTTAATACAGAAAAGGAAGGCTACATGTTTATTTCCCTTTGTTAACAAATATTCAGAAGTGACTGGTTTATAGCATCCTCCAAAGGTGACCAGTAAGATATTCTTAAAATATCATCATGAACTTAAAAATATTTGATTTCAATCCATTGCATTTATAATTCTTATCATATCTGAAACAATCCCATCTCTAGCCAGTAGGAGCCTCTTTAGGTTAGCCTCTGAGTCCTTGTGAATTAAACCAGTCAGCTTTGATAGCTTCTTTGCTGTCCGAAGTAAGGTTCCCAGTTCATGTTGTACATTTCCTGTGCAGACCTTTAAGCACCATTATCCAAGGAGCTCTGGTTCCTTTTAGTGGATAATGAGAGAGACCACAATTTGGGTATTGAGTATAATTGCCTTTCAACTCACTCCTTTCCCAGGTTACTTTCCAGTCACCTGAAATGTAAAATGCAAATCTGACCACTCCCTTGCTCAATGCCCTTCAGTGTCATTTCCCTCAGGACGAAGCCAGCTCCTTAGCATGGAATACAGGCTCGCCTTGCTTTATTGAGCTTCATGGAAGTTGCTATTTTCTTTTTTTCTTTTTCTTTTTTTGTAACTATTTGAAGGCAAGACCCTCCATCAGCAAAAAAGGTTACAGCTCACTTTATTGTGACACTTGCTTCGTTGTGGTGGTTTGGGAAAAAACCCGCCATGTCTCTGAGCAATGCCTGTACAGACTGGGTCCTTAGCTTACCCCTCCCTCCCATGTCCCACAAGTCTTCTCAAACTTGACAACCCAGCAAAACCTTTTTTTGCCACCCCAGCACTCTCTGAATCATGCTGCTGTGCTTTCTCATACTAATTCTTTGACTTGGAAATACCCATTCGCCTCTTCCACCTTGACTTGGTCTTTGAGATTTAGCACTACTTAGCTCTGATGTCATCTCCAAAACACTTTTCCCTGAACCGCCAGGGCCGGCTAAATGTCTTCCACTGTTGCCTCAGGGCCCACTGTTTACCCACGGAAACTCTCCTTCCCTTGGCTGTGAGTAACTAAGACGCCTGTCTTTATCCCCAGCATGGAGATGCCCCCATCTGATAACCTGCTTAGGCAAGACAGACAGTCTCTTTCCCCAGCATAAGAGGTCCTTTCACTTCGACACCAATGACTTCCTCACTCTAGTTCAGGCCTGCAGGTCTGCTCAGCACGGAGTTGTGTTAACCCCTTATGTTTAATTTGTAATTGGTGGGCATGTTGGGGCAAACACTAAAAGGTTACAGATTGGTAGGGGGCAGATTTTGCCCAAACCATATCAGGCCTCCCTCTCCACCCCAGCTGGAGCCGGAGCCAGAGTGAAGGGTGAGATGGCACTAACCTCAGTGTCGCCTACATAGAGCAACAGTGAAGAGCTGGGCCTCCAGAGACTGGGTGCCTGGGTTCCTTCTAAACTTCTGTCACTGCCTGCCGGCATGACTTTGGACACTACTGATCATATGTAGTAAATGCCACCTTCCTAGGCTTTTGGGAATATTAAAACCTGTATAGCACTTTGTGTAGTGTAGTATATTATGAGCACCATGGTGCAACCTTTGTGTCTTACCACCAACCGCCCCCCCCCACCCCAAGCAGAAGACAGTACAAGGATAAAATTGGGTTTTAAAGAATCTTGAGACACATTTTTCAGTCACCATGAGAGTGAGAAAAGACGTTTTAGGTACACTTTCTAAGTTGGGGAAAGAAGTGGCTAGCGTTAGCTGAATAGGGGTATGTGAAGTCCAAAGAGGTCAGTCAACTGGCAGTAACCTAGATGAACCAGTCAGGTAGCAGTTAACAGTCAAATCCTAACAGGAAGCTCTGTGGCTACAATGAACACGACAACCAGAGGGCAAACATGCCAAAACGGAATAACCAGCCTGTAATCCAAACTTCGATTTATAATCTCATATATAAACAAGGAAAGGATGTTTTTCACTAATGATCCCTAGCACATAGAATAGACCCTGGCCACAATGGTGACCAAAAGTACTCACAGAATGAGTGGGTTATGCCTTTTATCCATTACACATCCCCAAATTCCAGAGCTTGCCTATACGTGGGAACCAACTACAACATGCTGTTACCACAAACCACCTGCAATAAAGGCTGGGAAGGGGGAGACCAGAAAAAGGCCCGGGCTGTTTACTGGACAGAAAAAATTCCCAAACTTTGTAGCAAGTTGCAGCTACAGAATGGGTGCCTACGTGGGGGTACTTGTTTCTTTCTATTCACACCTAGAAAAAAAAAAATCTCGCTCCACTCAGCTCCCATTATTAAATCCTCCAAGCCCCACCATGTTCAGCTATGGCCTTGAATTCAAAACACGTTAACACCAGGAAAGGTTAAGGAACTTTATTTATTTATTTTTTTACAAATTAAGACTATGTAGGTTTCATATATTTCTGATCAAAAACACCTTTGTCTTCACAGTATGTTAGAGAATGCAGCCTGAGCTGAAAAGCAAGGAACTAGAAAAGAAAGTGATAATTACAGTGATTACTGTTTTAAAAACCTGTTAGACATTTTCTTTAAAAGTAGTTTTTTTTTATACGTCATTCTTGGCACTGTTTCTAAAGAAAAACTCCTTTAACCCAAGCAAAAAAAGCACAAGAGGTGGAGTTTGGCTTCAAGAGATATAACTTGGATTCTAAGGGTTAGCAAAGAATCAACAAATTTATGGAGTTGTTATGAGGGGGTTAGTGGGAAGGAAGTCTTTCTATTAAGTTTACAAGCCAGAGACTGGAAACAGCAGCTCAGAGGGCAGCATCCTCTGTGGAGGCACGCCACTCCAGAAATACACACAGCCCGCGAACAAATCTTTTCATGGGATGGTGTACTGCAAACAAGTAGTCACTGGGTCAAACCATGTAATGGGTGTGAACATCCACAGCCAAAAATGGTGTCCTACTGGCAATAAGCTTTCTGTATTTCCAATAAAGCTCAGTCTCTCTTACACTGAAGCCCCGTGAGTAGCCAGAGCCACAACTGCTCCCAAGGGCCATCCATCTGCGCCAGCTGACTGTGCAGCCCACAGGAAAGGAGCTGGTGATCCCCACTGGTACCGCCCTCCCTCCATGTGCAACCACAAAGCTGCAGGGAATTAAGTATCTTGGTCACCTGGGCCCTGCCAGGATGGCTGCAGAGTTACAGAAAACAGGTATAGAGCCAAAACCTAAAACGCACGTGTAAAATAGACATCTCTCTCCTGCCCCAAATTTCTGGCTTGACAATACCTATTATCAGGAGGGACATTACCAGATGGAAGATAACAAAAATGCAAGCCATCACAGCCCCATTCTGTTGATGTGAACAAAGAACCACACAGTAGAGGAGATTTTGTCCCAACAAGTCCTTATCAAGGTTTGTCTGGCAGGATTAGTTACAATTACCCTCAGAGGCTCAACCATTCTTTTCCCCTGTTCTTCCTCTCCTGGGATCTTTAATCACAGCCACCTGGCAGGGGCCACTCAGTAACTAAGGTGATAAGCAATACAAAATAAAATAAAGACCTGGGGAAATTTAGGAATTCTAGGCTCTACCTTGCCATGCATCATCAGTCTTTTTTTAAGTGATGACAAGAATTAGTCTTCCCTTTGGGCTGAAATCCTCCTGCCCCAGGGATGGAAGGCAGGCAGGCTCCCTGAGGGTCAGACAAGAGATAGGAAAGAGCTGGAAAGAGAACACCTACAAATCCACATTCCTTTTGTGACGGCAAGGCAGAAAGGTGAGCTTGCCAGGCTAGCAGCAACTTAGGAAGCTTAGAAGCAGCAAAGCATCCACCAGAACAGGCTCTTCATTTTCTTTGCAGGGGTTGACAGAAGCTCAGATATAATGAGCCTGAATAACAACAGGGCCAAGCAAACTTCTTTCCAAAGGAAAACACACTGCCCAGTCCCACAGGAACTGTGCGCCAACCAAACAGTGCTGAGGGAGGAAGGGCTGAGGTGACTCTACCCAACAGTTCAGATCCGCCTGGTACAGCCTGGCCGGAAAGCGGACTCCTGGAGCTGTGTCCCTCTGCGGGTTCCACTCCTCATCACGATGGACTGGCTGCCTAAGCGGAGGAAGAAGCAAGGGATAGGATGACAGAAAAGGAAGTGGGGGAGAACTCCAGGAATACGAAGCCAAACTCCAAACTATATTCTGCTAATCAGTTTTTTGATCAAAAAATTCAAAATAGAGAAAACCACAAAGTACAAAAGCTTTTCTGATACTTTTCATTATCAGAGATCACGCCACATGTAATGTGTGCAGAGAGAAAATGAGAGGGCGGAGGGAGAGGAAGCCAAACTGGGAAAAGGCTGGATGGTCACCTCACTTCTTCTCTTTCTTCTGGTCCTGGAAATGGAGAAAAATTACCCAATTAATTTTTGCCATCAGACATTCAAGCTAAAACTCTTAAGTGTGCCAACACCTGGCTGCCTTTGATTAGGGACAGGAAGGGATCAGGACAATAAGCGGGAATGAGAACTGCTCCTTTAGTGCAGCAGGAACTGAATCTTAACCTTCTTCCACTGGTGGCCCCCCAGGTTGCTGACAGACTTGAGAATAAACTCTAAGCAGCCGCTCCCACTCCCACTCCAAAAGTATGCAGGTTGGCTGCCTGACCACCCTTGGCTACACACAACACTGCAGCTCACACCCCAGCCAGTGCAGGCGTCCGCCTGGCGGTCTACCCCGAAAGAACTAAACAAAAGGTCACCACGAAGGCAAAGACCACCAACTTTCCATCAGGCCTCAGAAGGAAGCGTAACTCCTGTGCATAAACCGACATTCAGAAATATTCTAGTCCAGGGGAATTCTTCATTCAATCTTAGGTGGAAACCCAGTATATTTAACAAATGAAAGTTGAGTTGCTTTGACAGAAACTGGGACACCCGTTTGGTGCTAACTGTGGCACAGACCAGAGAACCACCAGAACCACCTAGTCACCTGCTTCTACCACTGCACTGTGCCTTATTCCATAGCAAGGATTGTGAGAACAGCTGGTGGGCTTGTCTGCTCCCCTGCTGCTGGAGCAGTCTACGTTTAACACTCACTAACCATATATGGAATGCTTCACTGGAAAGAAATTAAGACTAACAAATGGATAAATTGGTTTTCTTCTGAAATGTATTTACAAAAGCTGGTTGCCAATATTATACAAATCTTCTAAAATATCCTTTTCTGAATCATAACTATCTTTAGAGCCTTTAAATTCTTCATATAGCAGACTGTTTGCTGCCCCTAAAGCTCTTTTCCCTTTGGTACTAATATTCAGGATTAGTTAAAAAAAGGACTATTTTTACTTGTTCCTTTTTCTCCATCAGCTTAGGATTTCTTGTTTACTTCTTACTCAATGCCTTATATAACCCTGCACCTACACAGTGTGTAAGCAAGTTTTCAAATCTGAAGTATACACGAATGTTGAGCTCAGGAGCTATTCTCCCATCTTCAGGTAGTGGGCTGACTAACCTTCTCATTCAAAGCCAGGATCATCATCAGTTTTCTGAAGAGATTAACGAAATCTAAGAAGAGGTCAATGCAGTGCCTGAAAAGAGAACCAGATTACAAATTGCACTTCCTACTTTCCTTTACACAAAAATGTAAAACATAAAACTCCCACCCCATGAGCTGACTTCACCAACACTCTACCACCAACTAAGGAAGTAAAATTGTGTCTGAAATCCTTTCAACTCAATGAAACCATGTGTTGGGTTGACCAAAAAGTCGGTTACGTTTTTTTCCACAAAATAAAAGACACATTTTTCATTTTCACCAATAACTTTATTGATTTGGATGTTTTGAGTATGTTGGCTCTCTCCTGCTATTGGCTTCTAGTAAGTAAGAGACCGGGGTGCTGCTAAACATCTTCCAATGCATAAGACAGCTCCACAGCAAAGAATTATTTGGCCAAAACATCAATAGTATCAAGAAACTTCACAAACCACTTCTGACATGTTCAATCAGTCACAGCACCTTCTCCATACACTGCAAATATATTTTTGGATTTCAGTTCCATTTTTACCTTTCTTGAAATAAAAAAGCATAATACACCGCAAATGTTGCGTATTTTCTTCCACCTTCAATATTAAAACAGCTGCACAAAAATGCGCCAATTTTGATAAGTTTTTTTTTTTTTTTAATGCATGCTGATATGACAGCTGTCACAATACAATCTAACAAAACTGTTTCAAACGAAAAGCCAACTAAGCATTGTTGGCTTAGCTGTATGAAAAAAACTAAATGAACTTTTTGGCCAACCCACTAGCACAGAGAAAAGAGAAATTGGGCTTTAGATTCTGCAGAGGCCCAACTCTGAACCCTGCCTGACCCACTTACCACTAACTTTGAGAGGATTTCAACATGAAAAAATATGTATATTTTAAAAGTTATATATATAGATATCTATATATATCTATATATATAAATATATATCTATTATATCTATATATATCTTCTCACTGTTAAAGACTTAAAGAATACAAAGGTATAAAGAATAAAAGGTGAAAAGTTCTCTTCTTTCTCCTTTGCCTACAGGTAACCACTATGAAAAGCATGGATACCACATTTTTCCGTGTATAATGTGTACTTTTTTGGCCAAATTTTTGAGGAAAAATAAGGATGTACATTATACATGGGTAGTATCTGAAATACCTTGTATCTGTTCTTATGTTTTGTAATTATTTGTTACATAAAATTTCTTGTACCATAATATGTTCAAAAATAAATGCTAAAATTCCTTGATAATACAAAAAAACAAGTATCCAAATATAAATAAATAATAGAATTGAAAAATTAAGACAAAAGATTTTTTTCCTGAAAGTCTGGGCCAAAAACATGGGAGCGCATTATACATGGCAAAAACAAGAAAAACTCCAACAACAATGGTATTTAAATACATATTAGTAGTTCAATATTTAAAAATCTGATGTCTTTCAGGAATTGAAGGTATGTTATTTGGTGCCTGGTTCCAAAACCATGGGTATTCTTCCACACACACCCCCAAAGTAAAATGTAATGTAAAGAATACATTAAGTTTGGCTAGTGCTACCTGAGCTAGTCTTACCCCTACCAATGTGGACAGAAAGGTGGGTCAGGCAACGGATTGTCCCTGGGATTAAGAGCCACAGAATGGAGGAGTAAACCTCACCCTTCATTCTTATTAAAGACCAGTTTTCACACTCACCAGATATAATCCTTATCTCCATTTTCAGCCTTTTCAATAATGAGTTGAGTATCAAAAAGGACAAAGCCACACATGAGCAACAGCCCCAAGTACAGGTTTGCCTAACAAAAGAATGACATGAGGTTACTATATGGTAGACACCATACACAAAAAAGCCATACTTCTTTCTGGCTCTTGGCCACTTGAAAGTACATGAGATGCTAACCCCACTGACATTAACATTCATGGGAACTGAAGCCTATGGTGAAGACCTCCTTCTGTCAGCACAATTCTACACTAATTTGGTTATTTTTTTTGTCACTGGAAGAGATTCAATCATTTTAACAAGGAGCTGCTGTTGGACTGGCCCTAGAAAAATGATCTATGAACAAACCATCTTCTCCTTTAGTCTAAACTTCCACCCACAGAACGCTCCATCCTAGGAGGATTGGTGGGGCAGCTTCAAGAGCACTTCTTAACAACAAGCAGCATTCTGGAGGGGTCTTGGTCTATCTTGTTTCAGGATTAAGCAAGAAAAAGAAGTGTGAGGCAAATGGCCGCTGGAAAGTTATATGTAAAGTCTCACCTGGAAAAGCCAAATGGATCCAAAGAACAGATTCCCCAGGGAAGACAACACCATCAGGCTCATGGCTGACATCAAGACACCTAGAACAGGTGACAAAAAGCCATCTTGAGAGCCAAAGTAAAGGAAAACAATCTGCTAAAGCCATTCCTTGTGTTCCCCCCCAAAATGAAGGCTTTCTATTTCAACTCAATTGCCACAAGAAGCTGGGGTGTGGGAGAATAGTCCTAGTAAGAATCCTGCCTAGAGTGGAGACCCTCTCCTTGCTTTCCAGTCCAACACTTACCTCCCAAAAAGAGGTAACTACGGCGCCTGGCATAGAGTGCACTCAGGGTGAAGCAGGTGAAGATCATGGCTGTGCCTATGAAGGCAGTGGGAAGGATGCTGTTAAGGAAAAGACCATTAGACTGAGGGCTACAGTAATACAGTCTATATTTAGAAGGTACTTTTGTAAAGATACAAAGACTTAAGACTCTACTAAAACAGTTACCTGGGGTTGATGTCAACACACAACTCCAGAGCAGGGCCCAGGCCAACTCCTAGAAAACAAAAAGCCCCAGAACACATTACTACCATCAATTCTTGAAGAGAACCCTTGATCAAAAGCTGATCGTTAATAGCACAGACATACCTATGCTCCTAAAAAAAAACACCAAAAACCATGTGGACTAAAGTAATTAAATCTTTCTCTCCATTCTCCTTGTTTTCAACAGAACTCCAACTTTACTAAGTTATTTATTTATACAGAGCTGCAAAATTGTCCTCTTAGTCGAAAATCATTAATGACCCCCATAAGGAATAGAGACTAGGAAAAATGACAAGGGCATGTCTAACATTTTGAGGTAAATCATTACTCTGAAGAGGCGTGATGCAATGTGGGCCTGATCAGGAATTAGAAAAAAAGGATTAAGAGTAAAGCAGACCCACGTGGCCAGCAATCTCATGGTCATGCAGGACTGACCCTCTTTAGGCAAAGAAGGCCAGACCAGTTCTGCAGGTGGACATGTGCCCAAGGCGGGGCACAGCAGCAGCCTGTTCCGGCTCCAACATTTCCTCCACTTTGGTTACTCTCCTTTCTCCTTGATTCTGCCCTCTAATCTCTAATGCCTTCAAAAACTAGCTCTCCCTGATCTAAAAATCTTAATCTCTAAATCCTCGCCTTTCTACAATCTCTTCAACATGGTATAGATTAGACTCATTCAGAATGAGCTGTACTAACTCATATGTTGCTTTGCAAGTATTTTTATTGTGTAACTTTAGTCTGGTTTCCCTTAATGGTAATTCTAGAAGCGCTTTAAAAAAAAAACTTTATTTTTATTGTTGATACCATTACAGACGCTCTCATACTCCCCCCACCGTTGCCGCGCGCACTGCCCCCGCCCCCCACTGGCCATCACCACACTGTTGTCTGTGTGTATGCAGCACACATAAATGTTTTTTTGCTAATCCCTTCACCTTCTTTCATCCAGCTCCCCCCACCACATGTATCCATATCTGTTTCTGTTTTGTTCATTAGATTCCACATATAAGTGAGATCATATAGTATTCGTCCTTCTCTGCCTGCCTTATTTCACTTAGCACAGGTCCACCCATGCTGTTGCAAAAGGTAAGATTTCCTTCTTTTCTAAAGTCATATAGTAGTCCATTGTGTAAATGTACCACAGCTTTTTCATCTACTCATGTACTGATGGGCACTTGGGCTGTTTCCAGATCTTGGATATTGTAGACACTGTTGTAGAAGTGCTGTGCTTTTCATTCTTTTCTTGAGAATCAACAAAAGGCCCTGTGTGATGTATTTCAATGTATGGCTTTAATTAATTGTATGTAAGGTTCAGAACAGATGGACGCTTCTACAATAGTTGCCAGTGTGAGTCCAACTAAGTCAGGTTCTTAGGCCTTGCACTTAGTCCCATGTCTACCATTAACAACTTATGCTACCTAAGCTCTTAGACCTCATTCATTCAAGCACACAAATGCTTATTTTTGGATACAAAAATAATCACCAGTCACAAAAAGCTTACCCTCTGTATGGGGAAGCAAGATGCACCTACACAAAATAAGAAAGCAGTACAAGGCAAAATACATTAAAATATAAGGTTGGATAGTAAGTGTACCAGTGGGGATAAATCAGAATAAATATAAATCTCAGAGCCTAGTCTAAAGCGATACTAAAAAATACAGTCTTCACCCCGCCAACCTCCCAAATTAGTCTAATCCCTTAACATACCTGTAAGGAAAGCAAATCCAACAAGAAGTCCCAGTCTTTTTTGCTCGGTCTCATGGCTATGAGGTGTTGCGTTCAGCCAAATCATCAATCCCAGGGAGCCCAGGGCGGAGAGCAGGCCAGCCTGTCAGATTCAGATCATAACTCAAGTTATCAAATTTATTATGCAGACTTTATCAGATTCAAATAGTCATCTGAACTTCCTAGTATTTGCTTCTGACCTGGAGGCAGTAGAAAAGGCACTGTGGGCTGAAGACAGAAACCAAAAGCCTTAACGCACAGGGTTAGGAGCATGGAGGATGCTGGAGGCTGTTCTGACCTGGGTAGTCCATCAACCACAACTACCCTAGTCAAACCAGGAGTCTTGCCCAAGAAATACCAAAAACTGAACTGAAGTGACAAGTACTGAAAATACATTCCAATCTGTAGGACAAGTAGAAATGACCCCTTTTTGATCACTTTAAAATATACACAAATACGTACACACATACAAAGACTCAGAGAGGGTGCTAGGGATGAAATGTTTATGTCCCTCATCCTAAATTCACGTTTAAATCCTATCTCCCAATATGATGGTATTTAGAGGAAGGGTCTTTGGAAGGTGATTATATCACAAGGATGGAAGCTTTAGGGAAGGGACCAGTGCCCTCATAAAAAGGGGATCCTGAGGGCTCCCTTGTCCCTTCCACCATGTGAGGACACAGCAAGAAAACGGCTGTTTACAAAACAGGAAGTGGACCTTCACATACAACAAATCTGCTGGCGCTTTGATCTTGGACTTCCCAGCTTCGAAAACTCTTAAGAAAAGTTTGTTGTTGCCTGGACTGGTGTGGCTCAGCTGGTAGTTGGTTGTGCATCATCCCACAAATCAAAAGGTCATGGATCCAATTTCCAGTCAGGGCACATGCCTGGGGTGCGAGTTTGGTTCCTGGTTGGGGTGCATGTGAGAGGCACCTGATTGATGTTTCTCTCTCACATTGATGTTTCTCTCCCTCTCGTTCTCCCTCCCTTCCCCCTCTCTAAAAAACAAATAAATAATATTTAAAAAACAAAAAACAAAAAAAAAACACAATACTTTGTTCTTTAAGCCAGTGGTCCCCAACCTTTTTGGCACCAGAGACTGGTTTCATGGAAGACGGTGGGGTCAGGGAGGGAAGCTCAGGTGAACTACTGTGGACTGATGGGGGGGTGGGGTGACAAGAAGCAAAGCTCACACCAGCCTAGGTGTTGGGACCCCTGGTTTAAGCCACCCACTCTATAGTATTCTGCTATAGCAGCCTGAAAGGACTGAGGCATAGGGTAAGTATCAAAACATATGCAGTTATTTCTGGGTGATGGGATTATAGAGTTTTATATCTACTTATCATTAGTCTGTTATCTGAATTCTCTACAATGAACATGCCTCAGCTTTGAAAGAAAACAAGTTCTTTTCTTATAAAGCAAGTGGGAAAAAGCTATAGACATTTAAAAAGAAAGAAACCATTAAGGACATATGAAGACACAAAAGTTCCCTCCTTCCTTTAAAGGTATATTCCAGCCGTGGCTGGTTTGGTGCAGGGGATCCGAGTGCCAGCCTGCAAACTGAAAGGTCACTGGTTTGATTCCCACTTGGGGCACATGCCTCGGTTGCAAGCCAGTTGGGAGCCGTGTGAGAGGCAACTGATCAATGTATCAATGTATCTCCCCCTCTCTTTCTCCCTACCTTCCCCTCTCTCTAAAAATAAATAAAATCTTTAAAAAAAGGGGGTATATTTCATTCTTGATTTTCACAGTAGTTACTTTATATAGTCAGTATGAACAATGAATTAGTGAAAACTGAACAACTGCTCCTGTGGGAAATAAAATATTAGGTTCTTGCGAACCCCCAGTCACAACATTTGCATTAACTGATCAATACATAACCTTTGAAATATACTGTCAATTCATTAACACTGAGCTCACAGTCACAGCACCAGAACTCACGCCAGAACAAAGTTTATCTAATACACATTTTCTCCATAAGGCAAATCACTCTTCTCACAATTAGGAACACTAAGAACATGTAAGCTCTATGCTTGGAGCCATTTTAAACAGCAAAATTATCAAGAAAAATGCAAAAAAAAGTAGCACTAACAGACTGTAAGTAGGACTATTGTTTATAGTTTGAGAGCTTGAAATAAGGTGCTGTGTTGCCTTGTTCAGTATCGGCTGGAACATGGGTGGGATGGGCAACTCAGATTCTTCTGCTGCTCTGGGTACAACTGCAAATGTCTGCAAGAGTACTGATTTTAGGGTTACAAAAAAATTTTACTGAGTAGGTATACAAAATCCACCAATAATGAGGATGACTTTATTTTACATTACTTAAAAGGGCCACTTTTGCCTAAAAGGTAGAATATGTTTTAGTCTGAACTCAAGGGATTGCCCTGGCTGATATGGCTTAATGGGTTGAACACCAGACTGCGAACCAAAAGGTCACCAGCAAGAGCCCCAGTCAAGGGCACGTGCCTGGGTTGTAAGCCGGGTCCCCAGTTGGTGGGTGTGTGAGAGGCAACTGATCTGACCGACCGGTGTATCTCTCTCAATACACTGATATTCCTCCCTCTCCCTCTCTCTAAAAATCAGTCAGTCTTAAAATCAAAGGATCAAAGTCCTATCCTTTGAGTATCTAGAGTAATTTTTCGCACAACTCCTGCAAAGAAATGCCTGAGCACAGGGACAGTTCTCAGCAGTGCCAATGCCAACATGGGCACACCCTTGTCCTTACACTAAAAAGGACACTCAACAGTGACAAGTCTTCGCTAGTGAAACTTCAAACTTACTGATTACTCCACAACTCTCCCTTCTGTTCCTGCTAACCAAACCCAAACGCTCCCTCAACACAGGAAAATGGGTTATTAAAGGGTTTTTCACTTAACCATGCAGATATAAGTGTATCAGAGAATAAAATGGGTCAAATCCTTAAAGGTCTCAACCCTGCCCCTCCTGATAATTAATTACACAGTGTTCTGTATCCACGTATTCCACAGTCATTCACACAAAAAAGAGAAAAAGGAGGAAAAGATAAAAAGGCAATAGTGGAGAACACCAGCAACACATCATTCAATGTCAGGGTTAAGACATTCTGAAGCTAAACATTTCCGTATCTAGAGAGAGCAGAGTCTCCAGAAAATTTAAATGGCTCTACATGTCCTTAGTATTTACTGGCTGGCTTTGGCTGAGTTCAGATGCCAAACTACTGAAAAGGATTAAGAAGAGGCATAGGCTTATACCACCCTGCTGAGCTAGTTTCTTCCAATTATAATTTGTACAATAGCAACTTGAAAACATTTCTCTTACCTGAATGAAATGAGTGACTACATGGACAAAGGCCCCTGCAGCTGCCACAAACATACACAGGGCAAAACTGGCATAGACTTTCTTCAGGTGCTGCTGTGTTGAGGGGGTTCTAGAAAAGAATGTTAAGAATAGCCATCACACTGTGACCAATCCAATCTCATCTCTAAGCTAAGAAATCATTTCCTTCTCTTCTTCCCAGGCAATACATGAAAGTTATATTACAATTAAAAAAGGAATGTTTTGAACATAGGTTAACTAAGAGAATATTAAATGCTGGGGAAGAGCCAAAACCCCACAATTATGAGCAATCAATACGGAAACTAACATAATTAAATGACTTTCCAGTGATCACAAAGCATCCCTTAGAATCTGGGTGTGCTTATCATATCCTCAGAATTCTAGCTAAGTCCATGTTGGTCTATATATACGAAAGTTAATAAACTAGAAAAAGAAAAGCCAGATATGAAAGGAAAAGCAGTAAGAAACTGCAGTGAAGGTCAACACACTTACATATGGGAAAATTTTAAGAGCACATCAAAGTTGATCTTCCGATCAAATACGTTCATGATGCCAGAGTCTGTGGGACACAGCCTCAGCACTGTAGAATAAAAAATAAAAGAAGAAAGGTTATTTTAAAGATGCAAGTTCAGACAAAATAACAATTTTCTTACAAAAAAATACAAGTTTGGAAAAATGAAAGTACTTAAAATCCAATTGTTCTAACACAATTATTTTTATTTTTATATATTTCCTTCTAGAATATTTGTAATCATAATCAACCATTTTAAAGGGGACAGAGGAAATGACCTATCTACCTCTCCCCAAGGTACTTCATTAATAGAATCTGATTTCTTTTCTTTCAGAAGGTGATTTGCCCCTTTAAAAGACCATTTTCTCTGAGAAATTCTCATTAGCAATCTAGTTAAAGGAACCCAGTCACTGGAACATAAAGCAATTTTATGTCATTGTTTCAAGTTGCTAGAGAACTCCCTCAGCAACAGTAAAGAACTTCAAAGATTTAAAAAAAAGAAAAAGAAAAAGGAAAAAAAATTCCCTGGCTTGTGTGGCTCAGTGGATTGATTGCCAGCCTGCCAACCAGAGGGTCAACAGTTTGATTCCCAGCCAGGGCACATGCGTGGGTTGCGGGCCAGGTCCCCAGTGGGGAACGCGCGAGAGGCAACCACACACTGATGTTTCTTTCCCTCTCTTTCTTCCTCCCTTTCCCCTCTCTAAAGATAAATAAAATCTTTTTACAAAAGGAAAGAAAAACTATAAAGGTCTGCACTAGGACCTGCAATTTAAAAACATTTATGTAGCTTTCTATCAAATGCATTTTAGAACTGAACTAAAAAAGGGATTCACAATTTTAAAGAAAGTTCCTACCTCCATGAAAAGGAAAAGTGTATAAAAAGAATTTTTTAACGTCATTTCAGAACCCTTCCTACAAAAGACTTGGTGTAGCACAAGGAATTGCTGTATAACCTGCACCCAGACTAAATATTACTATTTCACTATATTTACTTTATCCCCTCTCTCTCTATAGCAATATATAGACTTAAAAAATGCATATATCTTTTTGCCATGCAGATACAATGCCCCTTACCTATAAATACTTTAATGTGTATATCCTAAAAATGATGATCAAAATCAGGAAATTAACATTGATACAATGCTATCATCTGATGTACAGACCTTATTCAGATCTTCAGCCAACAGTCCCAACGGGCATTTAAAAAAAACAAACTAAAACTAAACTATACCGAGGTCCCATTACTCATCAATACCTCAAGTTTTGCTCCCTCCCCTATCTCACATGCAATCCTAAACAAACATGCTCAATCTAGAAAACTAGAAATCTAATCAAGAGCTTTCATCTTTGCTAAATATAAATCTTCCAGATTCTTATTAGACCCAATCTTATTCAAATTTACCAAAAAAGGGAGGGGAAGGAGAGGACTAAAACCACTCATACCCATTCTAATCATCACTTAACCTAATACTCAGGAAAATTCATCTGGGCAAGCAAACCAATTTCCTGAGGGACCCTGGGCCAGTGGAAAGATACCATTCTTAAGAGTTCAAAATTTTACCACTTGTTTCGAGAGGCTCTCTCATAAATGAAACAATTAAAATGGCTGGCTTGCTATCTCTGATTTCCTCTTTCCTTTCTCACCATTCCCACTCACCTCAATTCTTTCGTTAGTTCTGTTCTTAAGAATGGCTATGGTAAGAAGCTGCAGAACGTACTAAACGCTGACGCTCTCATCTCTAAGTCTCAGGGCTCTAGATGGTGCAATTATTGCAGGCTGTTGCGCTGCCGGCCACAGCCTTCCATAACCATGATGAATACATCCTCTCGAGAGCACACTTACAGGACGGCAGAATCAAGCACCTGGAAAGTATCTTTGTTCAAGGCTTCCATTAACACCCCTAATGACTTCCCTAGACAGAACTTGCAACAGTACTGAAGCAACCTTCAGAGTCAAGTTTCTCCAAAGTATTCACAACAATGCTAAAGTATCTCTTGTTTCCAATTTTAAGAGTTAAAAAAGTTAAAAAATATCTAGGGGATTGTTAGTCAGAAAGGAGCAACACTCTGTAACCAGGCCCCACTAAGTAGAAATTTAGAAGGGGAGAATGGCAGAAACTCCTCTGTCCCAGTTCACTCTTTGACATTTCCTAGGGGGTACTGACTGCCTCTTTCCAGGGCTCTCTTACAATTGCTAATGGAAAAATCATCCAAGTTTGTGAGGGTAAGGAGGGAGGTGTGGAATAGGAATTTTTTCATGACTTAATAGTGGCTTGTAGTTTAAAAACCATAAAATAGAAATAAAATAAAACTAGGTTTCCAACATTACTACCTATTTTAACATTTAAGTGAAAAATGTAACTACCGCCCTGGCGAGGTAGCTCAGTTGGTTAGAGTGTCGTCCCAATAAGTCAAGGTCGCGGATTCCCGGTCAGAGCCCATATAGGAATCAACCAATGAATGCCTAAGTGGAATGTTTTTTCTCTCTCTAAAATCAGTCAATAAATTTCTTTTAAAAATGTACTGTAGCTATGCAAAGATACACAGCAATTTTAACAGCTTTAAGGGGGGAAAAGAAATGCAATACAGTATACAGATTTAAGATGGCATGATGTATATATCACATATTTTCCAAAATACTAAAATATGAGGGGAAAAAGTTGGTCTTAGAGTCAAGAAAACATGATAATTTGTTCTAGATCTGAACCAGATAAGAACTAAGGTGCAGATAAATAATGAGTTAAAAAAAGTGTTCTTACCAAAAGTATTCTCAGTCTCAGGAAGAGTATTTAAAACCATTAACCAAGTAACTCAGTTAACATCCAGAGGACACTACAGTTAATGAAAATCTTTATTTAAAAAAATAAAGTATATTAAAATAGTAAAATATTAAAATTTTGTTATATATATTTTACCACAATTAGGAAAACAAGTACACTACTTGTTGCTCCAAGTTCTTTAATACAGCAGTCCCAATGTACATCTAAGCCCATTATAAAACTGATACCAGCACTGGTCTGCCTTACCCTGATCCCAACTTGTATAGAAATCTAGAAATCCTATATTCAACTAATTATAAAACAGGGAGGTGGGATTATGTACACAGAATACAATGAGGACAGTGTGTCCTGGACTCATGGGAAATTTGCCTATGTTGCATTTATAAATGACAAGTAAATGTTCAGGTGTTAATCATAACCAAATTTCCTTTAATTTGGTCCAGAGCCTCCTTTTAAGCCTTCATCCTTAGGAGAGCAGGAATTCCCAAACTTGTCAGAATCTGTCAAAATTTGTCATGCATACACTGCTAAAGCTGTTGGAAGTGTCACTATTCCCCAGGTCAGCCTCCTCTGCCAGAGCCACTGCCTCCCCCCCCCCCAAAAAAAACCCAAAACAAAACAAACTCAGTGCAGAGCTTTACCAAGGGGGGGAAAAACTTAAGGGAAACAAAGAAATTCTCCCTTCAAAATCCCTCCTACTTTACACAGCTTTAATCAAGAAATGAAACACAAATGTAAGAAATTTGTACAGATAGCAAAGTGTGTATTCACCAATCAAAATCCAACATTAATCGAAGTGAAAACTAAAGCAAAGGTTTGTAGTTGCCTAGATGTCTCTAGGGGACAGGAAGTCAATGCTTACCAGCCTTCCTCAAAAGAGACAACTTTGATAAATGTCGGACCCATTTGCTTTGGTCTATTAAACTTGAAGGAAGAATATTCTTCAAATATAAAAGATAGGTCCTTGATTAATAACTCCACTCTATTGCCATGCCGAGCATTAACAACTATGTATGAGGAAACAGGTATTTTTATCAATGAACATCTATGTCTATCTAGTGTCTTGTTAAATCCATTGTTTTGTTCTATTATTTTCTTTACCCTTGTCCTAAAATGAAAAGATTATCGTAAAGGGCCAGGCCTTAAGTTAAAAATATTCTCTGCAATCTTATTGCAACCCCTATTAGATACAGTGCTTATGAAACATGGTCAAAAGCTATGCAGAACAGCCCTGGCCAATGTGGCTCAGTTTGTTGGGCATTGTCCTGCAAAGTGAAAGATCACAATTCAATTTCAGTCAGGGCGCATGCCTGAGTTGTGGCCCTGGTCCCCAGATTGGGATGCAAACGAGAGGCAACCAATCGATGTTTCTCTCTCTCTTTCTCCCTCCTGTCCCCTCTCTTGAAGAATAAAGAAATATTTTTTTTTAAGTATAAAAAGAAAGCTGTGCAAAACAGAAACAATCATGCATTAAAAAAAAAAATTCCTTGCCTTTGAAAAATAAAAGTCTGCTGACTGCTGGAGCTAGGACGACAGCTGCCTGAAGTGCATACAATTTAACATTAAACCAGCAAGTTCAAGAAACATTGCTCACGCGTTTAATTAAACATTTACTTTGTGAGTTATGGTTCTCCATTCCCCCTGTAATAATGTGACCATCTTGAATTCTGATCTCTCCCAAGGGACCTGATACTTAAAAGAGAAAAAAATATATCCCATGTAGTTTTTAAAAAAGGGGGTGGGGTGAAGGTGGGACTGTTTATAATTTTTCAGTTCTTCCTACTGAATAGTTTCCAGAATCTGTATAGCCATGTCCTTAAGCATAGTAGTTAAAAGCATGAGCTGCTGCACTTGAATCCTGGCCATTATTTCCTTAGCTATATGACACACAACAAATTTCTGGCACTTAACCTCACTGTGCTTCAGTTACCTCATTTGCAAAAGAGAAATATACAGGGTTCAGAAGTATGCTTACTTAGAGTGTTGTTGGTAGGGTAATATGGGTGTAATAATTTATAGTTTTAATTTGAACATTTCACCTAAAATGTCATATGGTGAGCTTGAGTGTGATATTGTTACAGAATTACATGCTTATGATTTTGTAATAAAAGATTTTGTAATAAAAAAGGGGCATTATTTGTGTCAGACCCTGTGTATTACCTACTTCATATGGTTGAGGATTAAGTGAGATAATATAAATAAAATGCTTGAAATAGTACTTCATACACAAGACTGGCTCAGTATGTTAACCATTACTGTTACTGAAGTAAATATAGTGGAACCTCAGTAGTTAAAAATTCATTCTGGAAAACTGTTCAAGGAGTGATTTATTTGAAAAATGAATCTCCCTTTTTTTCTTAAGATTTTATTTATTTATTTTTTAGAGAGGGAGAAGGGAGAGAGAGAAACGTGAAATGTGTGGTTGCCTCTCGCATGCCCCCTACTGGGGGCCTGGACTGCAACCCAGGCACAGCATCTAGACCGGGAATCGAACTGGCGACCCTTTGGTTTGCAGTGGGCACTCAACCCACTGAGCCACACCAGCCAGGCCAATTCTTTTTTTGTCACCTGAGAGACATGTGACTGATCATACAGGTATGAGCAATGAAAGGGTTGTCAGGTAGAGAATCAAGACCCGAAGTTTTGTTAGACAGGCAGGACATTTTTTCCATGAACAACTTGGTCAAGGACCGAAATGTTTGAGAACTAAGATTTGACTGTACTCATTACCCTCAAGTTCTCAGCATATCCTTATTCCTTTTAAAGGCTAGTTTTAGAAGACATTTATCACAGGCCTAATTTACATATGTCCTGTCAATTACTTTAAAAAATATTATTCAACCATTAACTCACAGTTAGCTATATATCTTGAAGGTTTAATATTTACCCAAATGAGAAATTAAATTATATGGAGGGCAGGAGGGAGTCAAAGAAAGTTATAAACTGGAATGTAAAGAAACTGGATAAATCTTATCACTGGTTAAAATGACTTTTCTTTAAATGACATGCCCCTCTTCTGGCACATTTATACTATACCTCCTGTCCCACATGGTCATAGGCATTTTGAGACAGCCTAATAACAACTAAGTGATAACCTGATGTGGTAGAAATTTTGATGAAGTAAATGGTCATTACAGCTTGATGCTTTGACTATTCATAGTTGGTCTATTTGCTTTAAGAAATTCCACTTCAACTAGGTCTGGACTTTGATTGCTCTAGATCTGAACCATACATGTCTCAGCTGCTCCCCTCCGCCCCTACAACTTGGACCAAAATCCCCAGATTAGCAAACACTGAATGAACACTCTCTCTCTAGGGGACTACCTCAGAACCAAACCAGTACCTGCAGATTGAAATGCCTATTGCCTTCAATATATTATTTTTTGTACCAAATTCCAACACTACAGAATCTCTCTCTGACCACAACTGTTTGACAGACACTGAATCATAAGGCGGCCCCAATGTCCTAAATACAGAATCATCTTGCAATACAAACCAGTCATCTCTCCCCAATTAGCACCATACTTAGCCCAAATGTAGGTATAGATTAGGACAAACTGTACATCCACACAATCCTCACCCCTGAAGATCTTTTTTGAATTGTTTTAGATTCCGGTTAATTGTAACAAAACTCCTCTCACACATTTGGCTTTAAGCACATTCAGAGCAGAGCCTGTATATGAATCAGCTTGCTGCCCCCACAATTAAGCACAACCAGGAGTGTCCAGAGCAAATACAGATCCCATTATCTATCTGATCAAGAATGTTATAACCTCAGAGGCAGGGGAGTATAAGGGGACTAACTAAATGGTAGAGGGAAAAAAAAATACAATGAAGATTAAATTTTAAAAAAAACCCAAAACCATTATACCCTCAAATCAACATTCCCCAGCTGGCTCAGAGGGAGACCTAACTTGAGACCTAACTCTTTCTAAAAGCCAACCTCGACAGTCCTCTCCTTGGTTTGAATGTCTTAGGAAAACAAAAATGTGCATAAAAACTATTCCATGAAATCTGATTAGAAACTCGGGGGGAACAAAATACAGTTAAGTGGAAGACATTTCTAACAGCTTCTACAACCAAATCAAAGTAGCAAAAGATAATTTAGAAGATTGAGCATCAAGGGAATATTCAGTGTTTTCCCAGAAGAGATTAATAGTCTTGTGGTAGTTCATGAAATAAAGTGAAACTCTTCAGGCCATCAGTAGTATCTTCTATAATACCACTGACCACATTTATATAAATTTTACAACTTTCAAAGTGCTTTTATATACATTATCCCCTTTCATCTTCAACGCCAATAGATGAGGGAAGAACAAGAATGTTTAGTCCCACTTTAAAGATTAAAAAAAGAAAGTTCAGCCCTGGTTGGTGTAGCTCAGTGGACTGAGTGCCAGCATGCATACCCAAGGGTTACTGGTTCAATTCCCAGTCAGGACACATGCCTGAGTTGCAGGCCAGTTCCCCAGCGGGGGGCGCTCAAGAGGCAACCACACATTGATGTTACTCTCCTTCTTTCTCCCTCCTTTCCCCTTCTCTAAAAATAAATAAAAAAAATTTTTTAAGTAAGTTCAAAAGGGCAGTGTAATAGTGATACAAGTACTGGATTTAGAATCACAAGTCCTGCTATTTTCTAACATATAACTTTGGGAAAATCATTTTACCTATGGTCCTGTAGGCTTCCTCATCTGTAAGATAAGGATAACTAATACCTGCTCTACCAAGCTTAGTGAATGCCAATAAGAAAATCTCTGTGAATTATTCTAAAGTGCTAAATGGACATTAGTACTGACTAGACCAACGTCAGAAGTTAAAAATATGTAAAAAGCAGAGCCAGAACCAGGTTAGGCTTCTTCTGACCTCTTAAGCCTGGTACGCTTTCTAATGGTACACCCTACAGTAGAAAAGCAGGTTTTCATTAAGACAGTTCCAGCCATTGATCAAGAGAAATCTTTTTTTAAAATTAACATAGGCTGATTCCTATTACACTTTCCTATATTTTTTAGCATTTCTACAATAAACATGAACTATATCCATAAAAGGAAAAAATACAGAAATGCTGACTATATGAATTAATTTTATCTTTCCAATTATTCAGGAGAACAAAGCTTCAGTCAGATTAAAAGTAGAGAAGGAAAGAAAGAGGGTGGGTACTAAGCCGTGTTTCCACAACAAGATGAATAATTTAAGAAGGAAACTCTGAATCTAAATTACAAACTGCATTTCTCAAGAGTTCAACCATTCTGTCCCTACTGACGGAAAATTGCAGAGAATCTAAATGTCGACACAGTACTTTAAGCCAGAAGAAAAAACATTCCACAAAGAGGAATGAAAAAAATCAAAGAGAGTAAATCTAATAATTACAGAAGTAAGCGTGTTCGCAAAAGCCGTAAGAAATGTGGTTGTGCGACTGCAAAAACCTGTCTTGAACTGATTTCTTAAACTACACATTCTACCAAAAGATAAAATAGAAATAAATATCAATAAGTAACTAGAAAAGCCTATTCTCTATTAACCTTTAACCTTAAAAATCTTTGTGTTTCAAGCACAGTCAGCTCTTCTACTGGGTTACACACTCTTAAGTTAACTATTGCTAGAAGAGTCTCAAGTTCAGAAAGGTTTCTGTCCTTGTTTGGATTGGGCAACGCAACCCGGACTGGCACGGGGTAGCAATTCCACACTTTATACACAAAAATACCAGAGCTCCAGCAAGCAGGTTCCAGAAAAAACACAACGCCCAATGCCGCCGCCTTTCCTAATCAGACTCTGAGAAAGTCGCCCACAAGGTTCAGGGCTAAATAAAGCCTAGCCACCTCACCTGTCCGAAGGTAACCAATCAGACCAGTGCCAGGCTGCCCTGTAACGCTGGAAAGTCAAGCCAAGCCCCGTCTCTCCACACTTAACCGCTTCTGCTGTTTGCTCGCACGTAACTAAGGATCCTTGCGTGTTACAGAGTGTGACATCACCCGCCCTGCCGAGACAGGGCGGCCTGCCTGACGAGGCCCCTTCCGAGAACCAACCCCAGCCACTCACACAGAGGCCCCTTGGCGGAGCAGTGATCGGTCGGGTCGAGCTGAGGTGACCATAAACCCGTGAAGTTTCGCTTTCATTCCCCTCGGAAGGAAGGGGTGGGGGACGTGCCCTAAATTCCAGACGGGCCTGGGCCAAGGAGCCACTGCGTCTACTCTCGGCGGAACAAAAGGGACGCAGACTTGAGAATAAGGGGGAGAAGAGGCTAAAAAGGGTTTTCGGTACCGCTCCGGCGAAGAGCGGGCGCCTGGACGCCCCCCAACACTCGGCTGACTCGCCCCCGCCCCCCCTTTCCTGTATAGTTGCGCATGCGCGATACCAGTTCCTCGTTTCCCCTCCCCGCCCAGCCCTCCGGAGTCCAGTCGCAGAAAAGGGGCTTTTCCCACGGGGTCCAGTCTGTCCGAAAACGGGAACTATGCCCATTCTCGTTCGGACAATAAGTAATTAACCCCCTCTCATTCTTCACTGCCACCTTGCGCAATTCTAGTTTCAAACGTACCTTCTGACCCGCCTCTCCTGAGCCACAAAGCTCTTCGAACACCGGATGTGCTTCTGACGCTTCCAGGCTCCGCTTCAGACTCTTTATTCTGAGTCCGCCCTTCCAAGGAAACCCCGCCCCAAATTTATTTTAAGGCCAGCCCTCATTGGTCGTTGGCTGCACTTCTGCCCTTTATTTGACTGGACGTGCATAAACTTCGCCGGCTTACTTCAGAGCCATTCGCTAATGTCTTTGTCAATCAAGTTCCTGGCCACCAGCCGGAATCATAGAAAAGGTCTCAGCTTTCTTCCCCTATAGTAAAAAAAGGACTGCTGTACAAAGCTCCTTCTAGTGGAGAATGTGGAGAAGAGGGCAGACCCCACCCAACACACAGGTCTGGCCAAATAATGGAACCCCTATGACGCGTGAAGGGATAGCGCTATGTACAGTCCCAAATGGCGCTATAATGTCCCGGGATTTTATTAAATGTCCCAGGCTTTTTATGAAACGTTAAAAAAGGAAAGAGGTTAAAAAACACAGAAAAGCTCTTCTCACAAGCCAATTTGTCGTGAATCTAGTGGAGCTTAAGCTTCAGAGCATCTTTGAATTCACGGGCCTAATAAAATGGTGGTGGTTTTATGTCATCAACTTTGGAGTCTCATAGATAACTGAAACAGTGTTCTTTCTACAAACCAATAAGAAAGAGATCAAAGTCAACATACATATGGACAAAGGGTATATAAATAGGCAACTCACTAAGAGAAAACCCAAATGGCCAATAAACATGCAAAAATTCTCACTAGTAATTAGAAAAATGCAAATTGAAACATCTTTAAAGCATTTCACACATGATTGAAAATGAAAAAGTCTGACAACTCTAGTATAGGTGAGGACGTGGAAAAACAGGAAATCACACACCATTGGTGTAATGAAAAACTAGCATAAACACTTTGCATAGCAATTTAACAAGACCTAGCAAGGTTGAAATGAACATACCCTTATAATTTATAGGTATGTATTTTCATACATACGTATGCAAATATACCCAAAGCTGTTTGTTGCAGCATTTTTTTAAATAAAAAATTAGAAACATGATATATTTATACCATGCATTCTCAACAGGGGCAATGTCACCCCTAAAGGGGTGAAAATTGATTTTTAGAGGTGCCGAAAATTTTAGATGTAGTTTGCAGTAGTGACCCTCCAAAATTGATTTCTATTCAACAAAAACCTATTCCTTAGCTTTTAATTTCTCTTGTTGGGAGAAATTAAAATTGTGATTCATTTAAGAACTTGAAATTAAGTATATTTTCTCCCTGGGGAAGATAATAAAAGAAAGGTTAAGAAACAGATTTATACAATGAAAAACCATAGAGCTGCTACAACAAATTTAATAGATTTTTATGTATCAACACGGATATATCTTTTTTTTAATCCTTACCCATAGGTATATTTATTGACTTTTTTTTTTTTTTTTTGAGAGGAAAAGAGAGAGAGGGACAGAGACAGAGAGAAACATCTATGTGAGAGAGAAATATCAATCGATTGCCTCCCGTGTGCGCCGCGACGGGGATCAAACCTTCAATCTAAGAGTGTGCCGTGACTGCGAATCAAATCCAAACCTTTTTTTAAGACGTTTATTTTTAGAGAGAGGGGAAGAGAGGGACCAAGAGAGGGAGAGAAATACTGATGTGAGAGAAAACATTAATCGCTTGCCTCAACCCAGAACGTAAATCAAACCGGTAACCTTTTTGCTTTGAGGGACTACGCTCAACTAACTGAGCTGCACCAGTCAGGACAAACCTGTAACTTCTTTGGAGTTCGGAAGGACACCCCAACCAACTGAGCCACCTGCCAGGGCACAAGGCACATCTTGAACACAATCTAAATGAAAACAAATTACATATTGTTACATGCAATATGGTGCAATTGACATAAATATAAATTAACACCCAGAACAATAATATATATTATTAATATGTACATAAAAAAGGTTTTGAAGAACTCGGATTGTATAAACATTAAATTTATGACAATAGATGCATTTGAGGAGGATGGTGGAGGGGAATGAGGTTAGGGAAAGGATGCTTCAACATATTTATAATGTCCTATTTTTATGAGAGATTAGCTAAAGCAAAAGTTATGAAATCTTGCCTTGGCCTGGTGGCTCAGACGGTTGGAGCATTGTTCCACACGCTGAAAGGTTGTGGGTTGATCCCTGGTGGGGGTGTATAGGAGGCCAAAAAATAGATGTTTCTGTCTGATATCAATGTTTCTCTCCTCCCACCCCCTTCCTTGCCTCTCTCTCTAAAATCAATAAATATATCTTCAGGTGAGGATTTTTTTTAAGTTGTGAAATCTTCACATTTGTTAATTTTAAGCAATGGGCACTTGGGGCATTTATTATTCTCTATGCTTTCTGTCCCCCCAACCCCAAAACTGTTCAAATTGAAACAAAATAGGAATTTGTATTGTTACAAAAATTTGTTTTAGGTATGTGTTAAATGCTTCTGTTTTGAGTGTGTCTGTGTGCATGAAATCTAACTTAGGAAGACAGACTATGAATGGGTGAAGTAGGCAGGGTTTGCTTATAAAACAGATTTATTTTTTTAAACCCTGCCTGCCTCCTGGTCCTAAAGATATCTGAGTTTACCTGGCCCCAAAACTCTCTACTTTAAGGACACTACCAACCTTTTCCCTCTCTCCTCTCCTCCCCCCAATCCATGGGAGGGAAATTCTCCTTAGTGTGGTAAAGGACCTTCTTTCTTATCTGGCCAAGACACTATGCCCACGCCCTTGAAAACTTTGCCAAGGGAGCAAAATGCTTGGCAGTCATTATTTGTTCACCAACTCTATCTTACTCTCCATATTTTCCCCTGAGGCAATAAGCATAAATCCAACTAACTGTTTGATCGAGGGAAAGGAGAAGAAAAACAAAAGGGAATGTCTTAAATTGTGACTCAAGGCAGCAAACCATAGCTGCCATGTTTGGAGTGCCTGCTATGTGATCCTTTGACAATGTCGTGAAATTTAAACTCATAAGATTCTTAAGTTGAACTTTGTCTCTCCATCCCTCCTACTTTATTTGTTCACATCACTATCTAATACTAAGCCAAATTACATATACCATATTTTTGTGGTGTATAATGAGCAACCACATTTTTGGCCCAAGCTTTCAGGCAAAAAAATCTTTCAATTTTTTTAATTCAATTTTTATTTATTTATATTGAGAAACAAAACTGATTATCATATTCCAGGGTATTATTTTACATATGGATATCGTTACTGCTTTCTAAAGTGACACTTTTAATGGATAAGCATAAATAAAAGAATTAAAAACATTTACATAGATATGGAATTAGTACTACCCATATATAATGCTCATACTTATTTGTCCCTCAAAAATTTGGGCAAAATAGTGTGCATTATACATGGCAAAATACGGAAAGTTGCTTCCCAGGAGAGGCTAGAACTTGGTTTTCAGAAAGCAGAGAAATATTCTTAGGAAATGGCTGAAGGAGACTCTTCCTATATAGGACAGAAATGGCTATCACCCTGTCAATTCTGAAAACCCTCATCAGGAATATGTCCAACCTAAAGTTAGAGGACCACCCTGACCGGTGTGGCTCAACGGGTTGGGCATTGTCCTGAAGAGCAAAGGGTTGCCATTTCCATTCCCAGTCAAGGTATAGGCCTCAGGTGTGGGCCAGGTCCCCAGCTGGGGGCATGCGAGGGGCAGCTGATACTGCTCTCATACACTGATGTTTCTCTCTCTCTCTTCTGCTCTCCCTTCCCCTTTCTCTGAAAAGAAATAAATAAAATCTTTAAAAAACAATAAAGTTAGGGGACCACATGTAGGGTGAGCAAACATTCATTTACCTGGATCTGAGGGGTTTCCCAGGAGGTGAGATTCTCAGTGCTAAAACCTGGACAGCCAACCAGGATGTTGCTAGCTCTAAACCTGGGACAGAGTGACGGCTGTACAGTGGAAACTTAGGCAGGGAAGGTGGCAGGAGAAGAGAAAGCTAAGTGACTTCCATCCACAGAAATGAATTTGAAGGAAAATTCTGTTGGGTTTCCAGTTTTAAAGAGTATAGATGCGGCTATTGATCAAAGAGCAAAACTAAAGGACCTCAGGAAGACCTCTTAGGCTTTCTAACTTCCTATTTGTAATTTGTCATCCTTATTTTATTATTAGTGAGCAGAGGTAAAACCCTTGTGATTATAGGTTATTTTAATTATTTTTTACTTTGCTTTTTATAATAATTCTAGTTAAGATGTATTGTGTGTACTGCTTCTTATATGCTAGACAACGTTTAAGATACTTTATATGTATTAATTAATTTAATTTTTGCAATCAGCCTGGGAGGTAGAATTTATTCATGTAAAATTTATTATATTTAAGATGAGGAAACTGTCTCAAACAGTTTGCCCAATGTCACAGAGCTTGTTTTTGAGCTCTGGGTACCTCATTTTGAAGCTCATGCTCTTTTTTCTTTTTCTTTTCTTTTTTTTTTTTAGAGAGAGAGGAGAGGAGGAGGGAAAGAGAAAGAGAGGGAAACATCAATGTGGGAGAGAAACAGCGGTCAGTTGCTTCTTGCGTATGCCCGGACCTGGGATGGAACCCGCAACACAGGCATGTGCCCTGACTGGGTGGGAATCAAACCAGTGACCTTTGGTTTTGTGGGATGACACCTAACCAATTGAGGCACACTGGTCAAGGCCTAAAGCCCATACTCTTAATTATTAAGTTATACTGCCCTTGACACTGAGGGTTTTTGTGATTTGGATTAAATTTAGCTTTAAATCCTAGTTCTAGAAATCATCTCTCTCTTTCTTTCTCTCTCTCTCTCTTTATATATCCATCCCTCTCAGAGACCTAGCCTTTCCTCCTGATAGTAGCCCAGACCTGACTAATAGTCACATGGTCCAGTCCAGACCTTTGGCCAACTAGAGATAGCATCTTGACCTAAGATATGTTTCAGTTCCTGAGCCCTAAAGTGGAACAGCCCCCTGGCTACTTTCCTGTAAGACTGGACAGAGGGAGCCAGAAAAGACCTCAGAGCTGTCCTCAAGACCTGAAGAAATAATTCACG